ACCTCTTTTGGTTAAAGACTTGGATCAGTGAGTCGGTTGGCGACTCAGTGAGTTGGACAGGATGGGATTCCGAGATCGTTGAACTCGACGAGTCGACGGGTTGACTCGGCGAGTTGAGTCGTGTTATGGGAGTTTTCTAAGTATAAGAACTCGACGAGTCGACGGGTTGACTCGGCGAGTAATGTCAACCAGGAAGGTTGACTTTGACTGAGGACTTTGACTTTGACCAAGAGTTGACCAGTTTGACTTCCAAGGGTATTTTGGTAATTATGGTATTGGTTCTTTGGTAGTGTGCTGTGGTGAAGTTCGTGTCGGTGGTCGGAGCAGCTTGGTCGTATGTCTTTAGTCGGCAATTGTAGGTGAGTTATCCTCACTATATCGACAGGGTCTACGGCACCAGGGCCGGCCCTTTATCGGATGGAAATCCGGGTATTGTTTGTTATGTTATTGCTTTGCTAGATCTGCATCGTGGTTTTTAGGATGGTGTTATGTTAGTGAGCTGGTTAAGGTCGGTACCCGGTATATAGGGTAATGTTATGCTAGTGACCGGTTAGGCCATAATCCTGGTTAGGATGTTGATATGCTATGTGATCTGTTAGACTGTTTGTCTGGTTAAGGTTTGTTATGCGATTAATTGTTTATGTGCACATGGTTGTTTGATGGGGGTTGGGTTGAGGCGGGTCTTGCTTTGTGCTGTAGGCCAACATACCCAGGGCGGACCGGATATTCCGAAGGCCTAGCGAGCGGTCCGGATAGGCTGAAGGCCCCAAGAGGGTGGACCATACGTGCCGAGGCTCGGAGAGTGGACCAGGCCGACTGAAGGCCCGGTGTGGGCGGACCAGTCATACTGTAGACTCAGAGAGTGGACCAGGTTGATTGAAGGCCCGGTGCGGGCGGACCAATCACACTGTAGACTCGATGTACATGACTAGACCCGGAGGGTGGACCAGGTGGACTGAAGGCCCGGTGCGGGCGGACCAGTCACACAGTAGACCCGATGTGCATGGCTGTTCTGTATTGTGATATGATATGAGTATGGTTATATGTGGTTGGTATTTTGGGGGTAACTCACTAAGCTTTCGGGCTTATAGTTTCAGTGTATTGTTTCAGGTACTTCAGGAGATCGTGGCAAGGCAAAGGCACGATCGTACCTCTCCTCATGTTTTATGTTTTATGTGATATGGTTCTGGGGGATACTCGGATGTTTAAACTATTTTGAAAACGAGATGTATGAACTTAATGGTTTTTGAATGAATTAAAATGTTTTAAATTGGCTCAATTTTTATGGGTGTTACATTATCAGTCAAAAACGTTTTTGGTAATTATCCCAATTCAATTTCAATCAAAATCCCGAAAAACCAGCCACTAGACGAGCCGACTCGCCGAGTCACAGAACTGGACTCGTCGAGTAGCCCTGACTCATCGAGTTCATCTGGTGACTCGACGAGTCCATCAGTCAGAGGCATGATTTTTCGACTTATGAGCTTGAACAAAATAGCTATGCATCAAATACAAAAGAGAAACGATCTAGGCTCTGATACCACTATTGGCTTATAAGCAAAACAACATTCCTATGGTGTTCATGCAAACCCTAATGCTTGGATGTAGTTTTTCTATTTGTACATGCAACAATTGTCCAAGACTTGCAAACCCTAATCTAGCATACAACAAAACTAAATTAACATCTAATAAACAAGTTAGAAAGTTACCTTTGATTGTTTCTTGAGGATCTTGAGCTTTTGAGAAACCTAGCACCTCAAATGTGATGCCTCTAATGAATCACAAACACCAAAAGCAATTGGATGATCTTGGAGAGAGGGGGAGGTTAGAATCGGCTCTTGGAATCCTTCTAGGGTTTCTGGTAGTCGAATTCTAATGCCCTAGGGTCCTTTATATAGCTGTAAAGTTAGGGTTTTAGTCAAAGCAGCCCACAAGATCCTTCTAGAATCCCTAGCTTGGACGATTTCTATATGGGCTCCCATGTTAAATCGTCCATCCCTTCCCTAAGGGATCCACAACCCATATTGAAACTATCTTATAGTTACAATATTAGTCCCCCAAGTTTAATTAATATCTTTTAACCAGAAAATTAATTCTAAATTAATTCTTGACCAATATTAATTAAATAAATATGATTCCTCCTTTAATATATTATTCATATAATATATTAATAAACTATAATAACCTTTTTCTCCATTATTCATCCAGTCAAGTTGCTCTGGTGAAGGCAACCCAAAAGGACCATGCTACAACCGGGTCAAGTACATACCAAATATAGTTATGGCTTAGACACCTAATCCAACAATGTTTAGACCAAATACATCTTATAACAAGAAGTTTAAGTCTTTTTAGGGTTGTTACAATGAACCTCCCATTGATAGTACTCCAAAATAGGAAGATGTGACCATTAAGAAGTTTAGGTATAAAGATTTTAGCAGGTGCACACTACTTATCTATAAAGGCGAAATGGGTCCGACAACAACACACATTTAGACTATAGAAATGGAGATGGCTTTCTACATATACAAATGCCTGGATGGTCAAAAGGAAAACTATGCCATCATAATGGTTGCTAAGCTTTGGATTGAGGTGAGTTTACTGGGAGCATATGTCTCTTACTATGATTTTCTACTCTAAAGTTTTCACATATTATTATTTGAAAGTATATTATGAGTTTTTTAATGATTGTTATGTGCCTTAACATGCTATGTGTTTTTCTATAGGTACTAGTTATGTATTTCATACAAGAGTGGTTTTGGAAAAAACACTTTCCCCACAGGTTGAAATCTTGGTAAAAAATGATTTATGATTAGATGTTGATAAGTTGTTTTGAAAAAGGTTTGATTTATAAGAAAAAATGATGCTTTATGACGATATGGTGTTTTATGATGCTTTAGGATGAATAAATCCTTTATGATTAAAGTGTTGAAACGGATTTAGGAATAAACCATGTGCAAACATTCTAAGATGGTTGCGTGTGTGAGTCCCTCATTATATCCATATGGGATTGACCATTATGATGTATGACGACGGTGAACGATTTCTAGATAATCCTCACTATGCACAAGTGGGCTACCTAACCCTTGTCTGGTGTTCATGTGATGGTAATGATACAACTTGCTTATGTGATTCTTTCTTCATAATTGACAACTCTCTTTATCTCTCTATTTCTTTCTCTTTGTTTTTTTCTCTCTCTCAGACAAACACATACCCACACAAACACACTCTCATACACACACACACACACACACACACACTCTCTCTCTCTCTCTCTCTCTCTCTCTCTCTTATACAATGAAACATTCACGATGCATCATATTTCCAAAATACTCCAACTGTAATTTGCATTGCAATTGGACATCTATGATCATTCCTTATTTCTTAGTTAGTAGTGCCAATAACTATCTACTAGACTACAGATAAGCATAGTTTTTCTAATATAAATCCTACTTTCATTATTTATCTTACATAAATGTGTTTATAAAGTTTTCTTACTAAGGCATTGTACTTATTTCTATATGGATTACATTGTTATAATTGAGTGTTTTTTTTGTAATACGAAAAAATAAAAATCCTTAAATAAACAAATCATTGAAAGTAAAATGCTACTTCTAGCATTTAACTTATAAAGGAATGACTACACATGGATAAAGGCACATTCATGCAACTACTTGCTGTAAATCGGCTATAATATTCTGATAAGCATCAAGATGATCTTGTTGGGTGTCGTGGTGGAATTATTCAAGGTTGATATATTTTTCAAAAGGGTTTAGGGTTTATTTTTGTGTCCATATGTCATGTACATCATTACTTGCATGCACATGTTTGTTATTATATATATATATATATATATATATATATATATATATATATATATATATATAATGAGTTTTTTTATTATGACATCATACTTTGAAAACTCTACATTACTCTACATGCTCTATAAATAGTTTTGGCGGAAACATTATATTTGGATATAATTTTTGGAGTAACAAGAAGAAATGAATGTTGGATGCTATACTAAATTTATTAAATATGTTGATATTGCTTCCATTTAACATTTTTTAGGGTCCCCTCTTCACCACGTGGGGGTGCAACCTCTAGTTACCGTATGGTTGGTTGATTTTTTTCTAACATTTCTCTTTAAATAATTATGGTAAACACACCAACTGAATTACCCATGTAACAAATACCAAAAGCCTACCCGAGATCTGTTGCAAAATATTAACAATACTAGTTGTGAGACCCATGTATTACATGAGTTAATTTAAAAAAAAAGTTAAATATAAAGGTTAAAATATTTGAGAACTTTGAATTTATAAGAAAATAAGAAAAATAATGAATTATTATAATTAAAATATTTTTTTTATCTTTTAAATTTAAACAAATAATTTAAATAAATAAGCAAAAGAAACTAATGAGCCTTAGTTTGAGAATTTTGAAGGTAAGTTCATTAATGAAATTGATATTCATTTATTATTACATTTATTGCAATTATTACATTAAAATATTATGTGAAATTTAATAAAATAGAAAAACTTATAAAATAACATGTGAAAAAAAAATTAATTTAAAATAATTTTAAAATGACATTTAGCCTATTAAATAAAAGTGTAATCTCTATAAAAATAACATGTAAAAAAAAATTAATTCAAAATAACTTTAAAATGACATTTAGCCAATTAAATAAAAGTGTATTCTTTATAAAAAAAAAAAAAAAAAAAAAGAAAAAAAAAAAAAAATTTATTTATTAGAGAAAGTTACGGAAGTTTAAACCATGTGAAGTTATAATCTTAACCACTTGCTCCAATTCCTAGGAAAAAAATTATACAATAATTATTGTAAAGAAAAGTAATTTCCTTTCCTCGAAATAAAAACAAACAAATATGAGTCAACTTAGATTGGCTATTCTTGTATCATTGACTATAACATGTAAATAACTACAAAACATACATCTATAACCCAAAAAAAAAAAAAAAAAAAAAAAAAAACTAAGAAATATTCCGCTATGTTCGATTTAAACTTAGATCTTGAAAAAGCCAATGTGGTCTCTTTTTATCTTCATTGTACAATGTACTTGAATTCAATACATTCGTTTTCATCTTGGTCTTAGAGTCGCTGCCTCCGGTTTGATGCAGACGGTTTTCTGATAATCTCTTACTAGCGCTAGGCCCGATACTTAACGTCAGTTCTACATCGTTAGGCCCTGTTTTGTCATCGTGAATACCACTACTGTCTCCACATGACGTATCTTCCATGGCAGATCTTGAAAGATCAAACCCTACTCTTTTATCATGACTGTTAGTATCCAAAGTAGCCCGTTGGCAGTCAGTATTTCTTCTAATATCGTTTCTCAAGGTCCCCATCAGACTCTTTTGAACGTTATATATCCTATGAAGCTCCCGTACCTATAAATTAAGCAATTTTCGTAACGATAATATTAGTTAGCAAGAACAGGGAATACATAATCACTTGATAAAATAAAAAAGTATCACAAACCTGATGTCTAAAAGTATCTTCATGCTTCAACATTGTCTGTTTTATGAATTCTAGATGGTGGTTTTCGAGCATCTTATTTTTTGAATCCAAAGCTAATGATACACAAGGCTAGTTGGGTGACTCTCTGATGATAACGATACCTGTTATTCCATGAAGCGGTCATCCAATGCCGAGAAATATGAGTTTGTTGCTAGTAGAAATATGGGCATGCTCTAGTTTTGATCCCATGCCTACAAGAGCCATGGAGCATTTATATCCAAATATGGTACAAAAAGCCATAGGAAAATGAACCACCAAAACAGAATAAAGTCGAACTAGTGCCCTCACATCCACAAATTCCCATCTCATAATAGTAGTTTCTCACATTTTACTTGGCGTTTTTCATCTTAACCTTATTTTGATATGCATCATAAGCTTGTTTTACAACCTAATTATGCGTAATGGTATACGTTTATTAATTTTAACGTACGTGTAAAATGTTATAGATATACAGCACTAATGTAGAAGTGGAGACAATGGATAGTTGAACCCAAGTCATAAATCTTTGATGACGAAAAGTCAAAATTCAACCACCATGGATGATTTCAGTCGTAACTAATACCAACAAAGATCTAAAAGTCAAACTAGATTGCAAATGCAGCATCGAAATTTGCATATAATCGAAACCTCTTAGGCCTTTGCCAAAAGTAAATTGATAGTTGGCCCTAGCCATATCTTTGGTCGGGGACTTCTTGAGATCATGATAATATGTCATCAAGCACTTATTAAACTGTTGTAGTAATCCGATTTCCTGTAACGCGCGTATGCACTCTAGCGATTTGCTAGTGTATATTTAATAGAATTTCTCTGTTGAAAAGCACTTATTAAATGTAAGTTCTACTGTTTGACTATATCCCGTAAAACTTGTTTTATTTTGCCTTTTTTCACTGTTGAAATGGATAGATTCATATTAAAATACAGTCTTTATAGTAGTATATTATTCTGGATCTGAGATCCCAGATTCATACTAGAACTACGACAATTAAATAAAAAGTACGAAGTTAAGCTTTTTACATAACTGATTAGAAGGGAAGAAAAATGGACTCCAGTTCTACATGTCAATACCAGAAACAATGAACAGCATATCCTTAATTTCTGAAACTTTAAATATATGCATCCACGTTACGAGGAGAACAATATGAAAACTAAAATATGCATACATATCAATAGCATACAGTGACTCGTACTTCATGCATCCAAATCAACCAAAATGTCTAACGTATTCACCTTGAGAAAAGAAAATACATGTACCTGGTAAATGAACGCCACCAGTCCACCACACAATTGCCTTTAAACTTTAAAAAGAACGGCAGATTTCAGTGGCCAGAAAAAACCTATAGAAGAGCCTATCGGCAAGCAAACCCCAGTGTCGATTTGACCAAATATATCTCCAAAGAAAAAGGGGCAGAAGGATGAGATTTGTTTGAGAAAACGACAATGCTTTTAGGATGAATCATGGGTGTGTTAATAATTCAAGATGGACAGGCTGTGAAAGAGAGAGGGGGAGAGAGAAAGAGCTGGTGCAAGCAGTATGTTACATGCATAATATATTCTCTTTAAGGTTGTATTTTAATGAACCATGTGTTTTGAATCTTGGGTAGGGACCCTTATAAGGGAAAGAAGCAAGGACGATGCTGCCGGTTGTGAATAAAATATATGTAACTTTGTATCACAAGATAGCCGGAAGATTGGGATGCAAAAATTTGAAAACTTGGGTCCTTGGTGTAGGGCCTGCATGTAAACAATATATTCCAGACAACATCTAATGTAAATCAGGGATGTTGAAAGCAAGGCTGCAAAAACCTAATGTACATTCTATTACTACATCAAATAAAAATGTTATGACACCCTTAAAATATTATATTTCTTCATAATCATTATAAATATATAATTTTATTTTCTTTTTAATTACAGGAATGTGAAATTTATAAAACGTTGTTGATAACGTCTATTATATACATGTATTTTGTACATTATTATATTATTTTGAGGTGTATTTTGATGTTATTTATAATAAATTATGTTACGCGCCTAAACTGCGTACGTGACACGCTTCGGTCGAAGTGACTTGGAGGATACGTAAAAAACCCATATGTCGCGACCCGTCTCTTTAAGACACACGACACATTGGCTGTGGAAAATCTATAAATAGGCTTTAACAATGACCTAATGATCAATAATTATAATACTTCCATCATTACACCACCTTGATCGATAAGTAACCTCAAAAAAGCCCTTTTGAGAGTTCGGAAGGCGGTCGGATAGACGTTAAGCTGATATGGAGGAGGGATGTGAGGAATCGAAGAGCATAAATATTCGGGAATTCATAGAGTTTACTTTATTGACAATATTTGGAGTTCATTGTGATTTCTATTTTGTTTTACTTTCTGATTTGGGATCTTAAACACTTTTTCTTTGTGTTTAGATTAGACAAATCTTTATGATGTTGGTTTGATTGCTATGTGGATATTGTTAGTTATTTAATTTAGTGTGTTAAGTTTGATTGAAGATACATATGTATTGATGATTGTTCTTTGTTACCTATTGTTGAGTTGATGTAGTTAGAGGACCAATCTACTATATTTGCTTGAAAATAGTTGTATCTAATGATGGACCAAATCTTAGTTTAGGTTAACAAAGAATAAACTTTCATGTGTGTGCTTGCATTAGATGACGATTTGGTGTTTGGATTAATTCTTATGACCGTTAAGATTAATAAAGATCAAATCTTGCATAATACGAACTTAAGATTGAAAATTTGGATAGTTAATTACATAACCATTGTGTTAATTGTCTTTATGATCATTAGGTTAAGAATCCGACCAAGAAGTTTAACCATTTTAGGAATCGATGAATAATGAATAAATGTCCATAGTAATTAGTAATCAACCATAGTTTTGAGGTGTCGTATAGTTTGAGTCAAAGTATCTAAAGTGATTTGGTTCCAACCAGTCTATGATAGATCATTGTTGTTCTAACATCCCGATGTTAAGGTACTTCTAATTTCACCCCTTTAAATTTATTATATTGCATTTTGGTCCGTAAGTCCAAGAAATTGTGCATTAGAGCCCTAGTGTCATTTTCATAATTCTAGCAGTGATGAGTACGCCATGCGTACTAGTGTATACGCTGAGGGTACTAGGGCGCGCCCTAGTACGCTGAGCGTATATCTATGTATGTGGGGTTTGAATGGTATTTAAGCATCCTTATGGCCTTATTTCCCTTCACCTTAACAACCTCCACCCTCTCTTTCATGATTATAGCCCTAGAACCACCTTGTGAAGCCATTTCAAGCATTAAAGTGTGTGTTTGTGTGCTTACAAGAAGAAGGAAGGAACCAAGCTCATCTAGAGGGAAGAAGCATTTTGGATCTGGAAGTTTTGCACCATTCTCCATCATTTCAAGAAATAAAGTTCATACCTTGATGGCTAGTTTGCTAGATCTTGTTTGTGGGTGTTTTTGTGTTGCTTTTTGTCCCAAAGGTCTCATCTTGAACATGACATGTTCTGGACATTTTGAGTTGTCCTTTCAGACCCTAGGTTGGGTCCTTAGCCATAAAAATGAAGTCCCATTGGTTAGAATTGCTCCATACATCTTGTAGAAGGTCTTAATGGATAAAGACCTTGAGTTAAGCTCTTATTAGGCGTGTAAAGTCATAAAGTTGGAAACTTTATGACTCTAGAGTGTGTTTTGGTCATGGATCAGAAGTTGGGATGTAAGAGCTTAATCCATTAAGCTCTTAATGAGGATTTAGACCTTGCAAGGGTAGCTCGCCCCGCGTACGAGGTCAACCACCCCGATCGTGGTCAACTGCGAGGTTTGGAGTATGCCTAGCGTACCTCCGGAGTACGCCCCACGTAATCGCACTGGGTCAGCTCGGTTGGGTTGACTCGGCTGGGATGACTCAATTGGCTTAGTCGGTTTGACCAGCTGACTTTGACCAAGTTTGACCTGAAGGGTATTTTGGAAAGTCTAATTGGTTTGGTCATTTGGTTGGAGTAGGAGGCAGTCGGAGCTGAGATTTAGAGTCAGGACCTTATCAACTTATGTTCAGTTTGCGAGGTGAGTTTTCCTCACCGTACTTGTAGGTCGAAGGCACCATGGTCGACCCATTGGTTTGATAACCTGATTTTCGTTGATATGCTGAGTATGGAATATATATGCATGCTTATTTTGATATGCTAATATGGTAGGTCGGTAGGACTACATGTGATACTTTCTCTATGATTATCTGTATATGTTAGTATCTGTTATATGTCAACATATTGTGTGGGTTGGGTTGAGGTTGTACTGCTTCGTACGGTGGGCAACAAACACTAAAGCAATCCAGATATGACCTAAGGGTCGGGTAGGGCATGCGAGACTCATATTAAGGGATCATGAGCATTCTAGAGATGAGCTGAGGTCCCGACAGGGCATGCAAGACTCGTACTGAGGGCTTACTGGTGTTCAGTCCGAGGACTGATCTGGCCGGGGAGCAGGTCAGACATAAGCTTTGGGGCCCGAGGGCAGGCCAAACTTATGATGTGGGCTCAGGGGTAATCCAGTCTTTTAGCTGTAGACCTATTGCATGCTGTTATTGTATATGTATTATTTTATTATGTGTTGGTACTTTGGGGGAACTCACTAAGGTTTGGGCTTACAGTTTTGAGTTATGTTTCAGGTACTTCATACGATCGTGGAAACGAAAATGCGTAACCGTACACATCCTCATGTTTTGACTTATCATTTTGTGAAAACTCTGATATGGAACATGTTTTGAAAATTGTTTTGTAAACAATTTATGATTTTGGGTTGGTTTTAAAAGTTTAAATTTTTGATGATTTTTACGGTTGCTAGAAGTTGGTATCAGAACCTTGGTTTGAGTGAATTGGAGGAACACTCGTGTGAATCCAGCCTCAAACTAAGGAAAAAGATTTTACAAGCAATTTTCAAAATGTTTTCAAAATAGTCAAGGAGGATGCGATGTGTATGATCAACCGGAGCCAGTAAGTATAACCCAAATTACCAAACTGTTATTTGATATTGTGATATGTTAGAAAAATATGCTAGTGATAGGTTAGGGATCCTCAAGAATTTGCATGATAGAATTGCCTGATTATATGATGCCTGATAGCCTAGGCTTCTTCTTCATATGAAATTGACATCATTACTGTAGTTGCTTAGTGTATGCATCATGGTTATACATAACTAAGATTCTATAGCCTGAGAATGTTTGGTTTGGCCTTATTTCCTATTCTTTTTGATGAAGGGCTTAGGGTAGTATCAGATATTCGAATGTCTATAGGGTCCAGTGTTATGTATGATTAGCATAGACGAGTGTTGCAGGGTTGGTGGAAGTTTCATGGATGAGTTGTGTGGGGTCAACCGGCCAGTCTCGAGATGTTTAGCCTTCCTCTGGGGTGTGAGGATTTCATATATGCGTATGCTAGTATGTATTATTAGGGTTGTTGTGATGATCCATGAGACAAATACATGTAGGTGTGGAAGGTAGTATGGGCCCGTACTACTGAAAGCACAGGATCCGTACACGTAACAAGGAAGTCACAACCCCTAGGGCTTTGTTGGGAGTTGGTTCCCCGATATGATATGTGTGTTAGATGATATCTCCTTGGTTTATTTTCAGTATGGTGATGACGAGACGATTTTAGGCTAGATCCGGATCGGGAGCTAGCAGTCTGGGTGGGCCAGCTGTGTTTGAGAACTTGATTAGGGAGATCTTTCAAGAGGAGGTTGTTGCTCACTTCCGAGCTTAGTTGCCAGCGATGTTTGGGTCTATCAAGACCGCCATGGTGGAGTATTTTGATGAGCGTTAAGCTGCTTTGTCTGAGGCTGTTGCTGCTGCAGCCACCACAATTGTTGCCGCTGTTAGGATTGGTGCTGGGAGAGTTTTCCAGTACCGGGACTTCGACAATACAAAGCCCCCGCCATTTGATGGAGTTCAGGAGCCGATAATAGCCATAAGATGGCTGTCTGGCATTGAGGGGTTGTTTCTTCACTTACTCTTGCCCAGCTGACCAGAAGGTCAGGTGCGCTCTGAACCTTTTGAGGTCTGGAGCGAAGGATTGGCAGAGACTTGTTACTGGTTCGTATTCTTCTGAGCAGAGAGTTGTTGTGTCTTGGGAGCAGTTCTCGGAGATGTTCCGCTCTAGATATGTGTCGCTGGTGGAGCGTGAGAGGTTGAACCAGGAGTACCTGGATTTGAGGCAGGGGACGGAGTCGGTGACAGAGATCACCAAGATGTTCAGGGAGAGGTCCATGTATTGTCCTGAGTTTGCTGCTTCTGAGCAGGCTCAGATGACCCATTACTTGAGCATGCTCAAGACGGAGATCAGACAGTTTGTATCCACCCAGTGCTATGGTTCTTTGTTGGAGTTTCAAGAGACCGCCGGGCGCCGTGAGATTGAGATGGAGCTACAGACAAGAGAGCAGAGACCGGCCCCGGCGCAGTCGGAGC